GATGGAGTAGACATTTTCAGAGGTAAATTTTTTTGGTATTAACAAATTTAGAATAAAACAAGTCATTGTTAATGACACAGTCCCCGTCCAAAATTTTGTGGTCTAACATATCAATTTGATGCTGATGAAGTCATTGAGATTAAGGCGCAGTCACACCATGACGTTCTGGCTAGCGTTCTCTGGCGTTTGAGGAAACGTTGGTAGTCACCCAAAGTCGCTGGGACAACGGCAGAAGAGCGCCGTGAGAACGCTAGTGAACGTTGGTAATCATTGCTGCTCGTCGGGAATCGGTGGAGAACGCTGATCCCAAAAAAAAGTTTTGAACATGCACAAAAGTTCTCATTTGAGACCAGCGTTCTTCAACGTTTATTTTTAAACGCTGTTAAACGTTAAATAACGTTCTTCGATCATTTTGCTAACGTTCGACGCGTTCGACAATCGTTAGTCAGTCGTTGCTCTAGCATTACTTAGTTGTTACCAATCGCTTGCTTTGCAGTGAACAACTCACTAGCGACCTGTCAACGACCGCTGAACGTACCCCTAGCGCACATAAAGCGTGCGACTAACGTCAAATTAACGACCTAACGTTAGATACACGCTCACTTAACGTTTAAAAGTCATTCGTCACGCGCTAGTGACACGTTAGCACACGTCAATGATTTCCAGGGGTATCTTACTTGGTCGCTCATTACACGCTCCTCGTGCGTTAGGAACACGCTAGTCATACATTAGGGGCACTCGTTAATCGAACGCTGGATGTGTCTACCTTGTTCCAGAACGCTCGGAAATTGGACGATTGGAACGTTCAGAGAACACTGACCAAAACGTTATGGTGTGACGGGGCTATTAGATTGAAACCATTAATAGGAGATGGATTTGTAAAAAATTATGATTTAGTGCCTTTACACGAGAATTGGACATTGGGCAGTCATATCGAATCAAATTACAAAAATAATGTTCATGTTGATCTATCTATTGGTATACTGTCTTTGTACAAAATTTAAACAGAAATGTTCATTGCATTCATGGGAAAGTAGGCATGGGTATCATGAAAAACAAAATGGCCACTAGTCAGCCATATTAGTTTGAATCACAGAAAAAATATGACATGCAACTATAACCCAATATGTATGATCATCATACCAACTTTGATCCAAATTGGCCTAGTCTTCTCTGAGAAACAGCTCCAGACATGTAAAAATTACGATTTATAGTGCTTTTACATAAAAATTGGGCGTCAGCCAGCCATGTTGAATTGAATCACAAAAATAATGTTGGTGCAGATGTATCCCTTGGTATACTATCTATATAAACAAGCAGCCTCTCGGCTGAGATAGCTCCGCTGTTAGCAATGCACATTTCAATTAAAGAACAGAAGATATATTAGAAAATGAACAATATGCATAGTATCAATGCAATAGGACTTGCTGTTTTAAACAAGAATTCAAAAATATCATTTTTCACCATAAATGATTGTGGTTTTTAACCAAAAATGACAAAAATATTCACCAAAATTAGAAAATTAAAGATATCATCATGAAATGAAAAAATTTGAGAGTGGACCACATGTAGTATCTATATATGTAATATCAAAGCAATTGGACTTGCGGTTTTTAACGAGAAGTCGAAAATATCATTTTTTACCAAAAATGACAAAAATATTCACCAAAATTAGAGAATTGAAGATATCATTACAAAATGAACAAATCTGAGAGAGATCCACATGTAGTACCTACATATGTAATATCAAAGCAATTGGACTTGTGGTTTTTAACAAGTCGAAAATATCACTTTTTACCAAAAATGACCAAAATATTTAAACCAAAATTAGAGAATTGAAGATATCATTACAAAATAAACAAATCTGAGAGAGATCCACATGTAGTACCTAAATATGTAATATCAAATCAATTGGACTTGGGGTTTTTAACAAGAAGTT